CACACCTCAATTTAAAAAGAAATATTAATTTCCGCTATATGAGAATTTCTCGTGTCAATCTATCATTTTTCCACTCAAACGACGAATTGTTCCCCCCAAACTATGCCTTACTGCCTAATAAAATTTGTTTCCCAGCCTGCACGCACTGGTGCCTTCAATTTATAACTCCGCTTCCAAACAGCTTTGCTTCTTTCCTCCAATTCAAGCTTTCCCATTAAACCAAATTTCCCCCTCCCTTTCCAAACACCTCTTCATCCCTATAATTTATCTGCTCACATCCCCCTTCACCCCTCGAGTGCTGGATGGGCCGCTCTCCGCATCCCTTCCATCCCCTGACAGCAATCAAATCGTCGCGCGTCGAGTATTCCGCTCACGTGCCACGCTCATGTCTCGCCGAGATGTTTACAGCGCAAAATTAAATGCAGTCACTTTAGCAGAGCTCGAGTTTTATGGCACGGAGATCAGCAAGGTGTGAGAGAACTTAAGTAATTTTTGACTGCCTAGCTGCCCTCGAAGCATTTTCCTCTTCATATTTGAAACGAGCAGGCGGCTTCCGTGGAGTTCAGGCGACGGTTGGAGATGGTACAAATTAAGAGAAATTTGTTTTGATGTGCCAAGGCTCTTTTCCCCGTAGGGTTATTATAGGCCTCAGGGAACTTCCGTAGAGTTTCTCATTCCGAGAACCATTTTAAATAACTCATTGCTGATTGAGTGACTCGATTTAATATCGTGGCTTAACTCTCGTTCATTGAATTTATTGACAATTTAGGTAGGTTTGACAGAGTCTATGTGCTGAGAGTATTTACTTTTTAACATAATAAGCACTTTTAAATTCTAATTATTCATGTTAAATCAACAAATAGATCAGGATTACACAATTGGAAGCAAGACAAAAAAGCGTGAGCGTAAATTTCTGACGAGACGCCGCTGGGAGCCGCGTTCGATAAAAGATTTAGGAACGACGGAACGAAAACATTCTTGGCAAGTGCCGATTTTTCAAGGAATTCGAGACAAAATGAGTAAAGGGAACTCCTAAAAATGGCGATCGTTACCGTAACCCTTGTAAAAGTCAGTGCAAACTCTGAATAATAAATGCGAACCTGGAGCAACAACGAGCAGCTTAAGAGTTAACTGTACGCTTTCATTGCTCATGACGAAAAAATGCAGCAGTTCTTTATTGCTGTCTGACATTGATCACTAGACAGTTTCGTTTTTTTACATCACATTGAACGGTGGGTCGCGCCACGGTATTTAAAACACATCATCACATTTGAGCCTCACGTGAATTGCGTGTAAGGGAAATTTTAATTGGAAAAGGAAACTATTTTTCCGGTCTAAAAACCAAAACATTTCAAGTAAAATAAATAAAACGTGTAATAATAATAGATCGCTACTTCAGCAAATAACGACGGATTCCTGAGTTGAAAATATTAAAGACCGTAAGTCCTCTCCAAAGATGCCAGATGCGATCTTGAGGCTTGGCTGAATACAGCTCAAAATTAAATAAATTTATTATATAGCATAATTTTTAAAATGAACTCTTTAAAGTTTCACAGGAGTTTGGCGGTAGGAGTTTAGGTTTGTATTCTGTCGTGAGCGTAACTGGCATGCAGAGCACGGCTCAAGCTGATGAGCAGAAGGGCGTTGCAGTGAGGGGAGTTGCAGTGAGGGGAGCTGCAGCGGCGCCCCTTATGACAAATGGGTGCCCTTACGTGATGCTAACTGGCCCATTATTGCACTGGACAGCTGCTTACTGTCTGCTTATTGCGCCACAGCTGAGCTACACCAGCGGCAGCGTCTTGGCTGGAATTAGAGCGGTGTTGGACTGTGAACTGAGCTGATAGCGAGAGGTGCATAGTAGCGCAAGCGGTAGCACCGGTCCGGCTAATTTTTATATGTAATTATAATTGCAAAGCATTACAGATCACTCAAATTGCTGAGCGAAAGAAAAAATCAGTGAATGTGCGAGATCCCATTTAGGACCGATTTTATATCAGAATGAGAGCAATCATCTCGACAATTTTATACGGAACTCAAAGTACGGACGAATGTTTCGTTCATTTTTATAACACGCATCAAATTCCGGAAATATCCACATCCTATCCAATACGAAGCTCAAGCAAAGAGTGTAATATTATTTTCTGAATTTTGAATGCACATCAAGAGCTCACCACACTCCAGTCTGGTCTTATGAAAGCCACGGAATATTTGGCAGAAAATGTCAGGAGCTTCTGAGTAAAAGGAAGCCATGGAGCGACTTGAAGTTCACATCACCTCGTCACAACCTGAAGCCCACAAACCTTTCATCTGAACCGTATAATAAACTCAGCATTGCGTCTGCTGACGTTGCAAGGCTTCGTAATCATTGCGGATAAAAAATTTTCAGCGTTGTGTTATAGAGCGAAAAATGAACACAAAATATTTGATTTTGGAATGAATAACGGATATAGTTCTCATCCTTTGGCTCGTACACCGCAACCTAAGGCAAAAACGATGGATTTGGACAACACAACTTCGTATTAAAATCAAATGATACAAATTTTCTGATTTCATTTATTTAAAATCTCCTAATATTTCCTAAGAATACCTAATTCTCAACAAATCGCAAGCCTGTGAAAATGATTAATTTCAAATTTTCTGCCGCGCGTTCTAGACAACGGCAAACAAATATCTATTAACATGCAATTTAATAAAAAAATACTTTGTTTAATAATGAAAAATCAACCTAGGCTTTACAGGAGTGAAGGTGTCGTGTCAGAGTGCATGTGGTTGGAGTGTCAGCTATCGAGGTTTGAGACACTTCGAGACACTTCGAGACACACCAAGTAGTCTTTGATGGCGAACACTTGAAACTGACCTGAACTTCAGGAACTCTGAGTTTACTTGCTCGTAACTAAGTTTTGAACGTCGTTCTGATTCTCAAAATTCAAACTTTTGGACCAATAATAATTTTTCAATTATTTTTTCAAAATTTTATAAATTTTCAATTAATTATATTTCCTCGAATGAAATTTATTTAAAAATAAACTTTAGATCTAGTATCACATTAGATCGCTCTATGACATTTAAAAACCACTTGAAGAAAGCCAAAACTTTTCAGTGTGATTTTATGCACTTTATATAAACTTGGCCACAACGCTTCCGACAGCAACACTCGGTTTAATATCTTTATATCCGAATAGAATCTTCGGCAATTACTGTATCAGCCGACAAAGGGCCAAGTAACTAACAGAAGCGAGTATAGCTTGAAGAATTTCACGCAATTGAAAATGTTGTGCTTCTCCACACAGCTGAGCTGCCCAAACAGAGAGCTAGCAGAGATCGTTAGTAAAACTCTACTGCTAGCCGAGAAGGAAAAGCGCCATATCAATGCCACTATAGAATAGAAATGTCAGCACTGAAGGCCTGTTGCCGATTCGTGTGCTTTTCGTGACTTGATTCACAAGGAATCCGGCCTTTAGAACCCGATCTTTCCATAACTGACGAATTGATTGAATTGATTGCTGCTGGACTTACTGCAAGGCTCGTAAGGTGCTAGGCATTTGTAGAGTGGACATATGTTCATGGATAGCATTCGTCTAGGCTGTTCTTGAAGGCATTCTTACTCGGAACGTCAATGATGCTATCAGGGATGCATCTTTCAATTGCTTTATTCGCATTATTCAAAGCATTACTTTTAATGTGCCAAGTACTAAGCTTGGACGGAAAAAATTCTCAATGTGGACTGCTATAAGTAAAGGTTGTAGTGTAAAAGAACTTCCCTATATCGCTTCGGGATGTCAATAAGCATTCAGATTGTAAAATGAAAGCACACTTCCTTGAGCAAACCGGTTAGGTTAATTTATCAAAACACAGATACGGCGCCAATTACATGCTTAACGGGCAAGAAAACGATGCGCGCAAGTTGGAATAAAATTATCAATTGTCGCTTTGAACTGCTTTATCGTTCGCACGTTATATATTCTTACCTTCACGTGATCAGTATGTATGAGTGCTGGCTAGAGGTTATTGCGTTAATTCTGCAACCGGACAATCTTTTGATACTCAATGAGATCGTTATCCCATAAATTCATATCGTTGTAAGGTCATTTAATAAAGAAGTACGTTGAATATACTGAAAACGCTTTACAGTACACAAATACCCTTGTTAATGAATTACCGAATTATGAATCGACAGTATAAACCGTTTTCAAAGTCAATTTATCATCATGACCGGTTTGCGTTACACATTAAAAAATTAACCGCAGTTCCGAAAATCAATAAAAAACTTTTTTTAAAAAGGGGGAAAATACTCTATAAAGCAAGAAAAAGTTCCATACAACGTCTGCAAGGAGCACGAAAGGGTCTGGTGAAAGCAATATATGGTAACAATTAGTGACGTGAGGTGGCTGGTAAAAGCGCTTCAGCAGAGCTACTGCAAGTCGCACAAAGCTGGTCGAGGGTCTCATAAGCCTCCTAATCAATTCACTAACGAAAAATTACAACCAATTGATCGAGAGGACGCGAAAAAATTAGCCGCAAGACGGGGGGCGAAGTGTCAAAAAGCTGGGGAATTTTTGAAGCGTGCTCCTCCCTTGAAGCCTGAAATTGCCTTAATTGCCCCTTTGAGCTTCGGCTTCCGTCCTTTGCTTTCGTGATAGCGGACTACGACCAGTGTAGTCCGGCCAGCTGTGTTCCCTAAGATTAGGCACATTCTTCTACCAAAAATTCAATCGTTGTTTAACGAATGAATTTAAGGAATGACCCACAAAATTCCAGATCATGTCATATTATGAGAGATGAGTGAAAACTTGCTGCGAATCTGGAGACATCTAATGTTTCTAACCTATCAAAAATTACGAATGATCTTAATGAACAGTTCGGCAGCCAACAATATCTCACATATTTTTATATTGTGAAATATTTGGTGGAATGAAAAAATATACAACGTGCTAAAATTACCACGCAAAAATAGAACAAAACACACAAGTATCATTCCTACAGCAATATGAGATACTCACCCCTGCTGTCTTCTCCCGTCGAATTGGGTGTGTCCGCATCCCGAGCATGTGCGGGGGAGTCCCGCGACCCGTGAGACCCCCGTGGTGAAGGTGAATCTCTTCGATCATCACCCATCGTCATCCCCACAGCGTTCATGCCGGGGGGTGAGAGTCCCCCAAAGAGGGCGTTCCTGGCATCGATGGCCAACATCCCCTGCGAGAAGATGTTGGCCGCCGATGATGCCGGCACGACGATGCCGGTGTCGGCCTCCAGTTTGGCGTTCTTGTTAGGAAGTGGGGAGAATGCTGAGCTGTGGATACTGGCGCTGCTGCAAGGTGTAGGTGCTTGCAAGGCACCTCCAGACACAGGCTTGTGGCTCAAAGGGTGGAAAGCAGAAGGCAAGGGCAGTCGGTGATCCAAGGTGTGGTGGAGGAAGTGCGGGGTAAAGCCCATGAACGGCAGATGACCGTAGTCTGACAGCGGCCGCATCAACGGACTTGCGTCTTTGTTGGCTTCGGAGACCTGAAACAGCGTTGACCATTCGTTTCAATATAGAGTTTGAGCTAAAAGTAATACTTAACTGCAGCGGAGTAGCCATGTACAAATTGACAAAATTGCATATCATCTAAATGCCTGCATGCACCCGGAAATCGAAGCTAAACACATTTTCAATGTAACCTCAGTTTAGGCTTTACCGTCACGAAAAAAATCCCTTACATCACAATGTCTGCCTCAGTAGCCTTTATGGCTACTTATTGCACTTCAGTCATACATACTTGATAGGACTGCGAGGTAAATATATAGTTGGAGCAATAAACTTGACGTATTTACTTTAAAACAAGCAAAATGACTGGGCGGCGACCGACCTGAACTCCGTGTAGCGCTGGGTGCAGTCTCAGGGGGTCGTGAAGGTGGGAGATACCCTGGCTCATGCCCAGCAGGCTCGCCCTCACATACCCAGCCCCGTCCATCTGAAAGACAAACACCACCACACATGTCATAATTTCTTTATGCTGTATTATTTACATGTCTTACCGCGATACATTATTTGTACATTGATAGCTCATTGATATGTTAAATTATATATATGTTATATATATAATTTTGGTCATTAATTTGAGATGGAGCAAGAGATGGGACAATGAGATGGTCACTGATCGAGTTACATTACTTCTAAATTACTCTGCTAAGGTTCACCTTTCGGCTTAAACCTTGGTTAGAGGACAATTAAAAAATTAAACAACTTGTTGATCAAAAACTACAGGCACAATTAAGTAGATGAGCAGACAAGGTTTGATTATATTGTTGGCGACATAATATTTTGTGTGTAACAAGAAGCGGACCGCAGGGATAATGCATCGCAGCTTCCCCGGATGCTGGGCGTACAGTAGTTTCCACATCGTCACACGTCACGAGCATGGCAACCAATAGGAGGGATCGTCTAGCGTGAGGCATTACCCCCAAAAAAAAAAAAAAGATTAGGCGTTGCCTAGAATCAGATTTTGAGAGCTTTTCATGAGTTTAGTAGGAACCTAACCTAAATTGCCAGCCATCGATAGCTACAAAGTATAAGAAAGCATTTCTCATCAATCTGTAAATAATTCGATATTTTTAGTCTAAGATAATTTTTCAGAAATGAATATCATGCTGTGAATGGATTCAATTTTTCTGAATTATTCAAGCATTACATTTTAAACTTGCATCATATCACAGTCTAAGTAAAAGTAAAATGGATCTATAACAGTCGAGTCTAGAATCCTTTTACCTCAAACTTTGGCGACACATGTCTAGTTGAAGCGCTACCTTTCGTTACATGCCAATATTTAATAAAAAAAATTGACCGTATCAAAACACCTTATTTTAACTGTACAAGCACTTCCGAAATATTCCTTTTAAGAATAGCCAGCAGTTATCTACAGAAAATAAAAACTGTTGAAAACGAAAATCAAGTAATACCTCCGCATTGAAATATTTCCATGCGTCAGTCTGCGCCGGCTGAGAGAGAACTCTGGCTAGTTGGCGCAGGAAACTCTCTTCTGACATTTTAAGAAACATCAAAACCCGAGACAAGAATCAAAATTTACAAAAACTTTCAACAGCAATTTAAAATCTTTAACTTTACTTTATTATTCAACTTCACAGTAATTGAAAATATTCAGCTTTAATAATTATTTCAACTTGTCCTCAGAAAACTAAAGATGCCGTCTTTTTTCTACGTTCCTACTTCGGAGTTTCCGGCGTCAACGGATGAGGGATTATCTGCGGTACGTCATCGTTATATTTTTTGTGATTTTATACACTGTAAATAAGAATCAGCTGTACATATCATGCAAAAAAATTATCACATTAAAAATAGTTCTATGACTTGTTTTAAGGTTTGAGAAATAATGATTTCTTCTTGATTTTTTTATGATTTCAGTGCTATATAGAAACTCCAGCTTTTTATAGATGAGAAATATTTATGTTCGCCATTTGCAGCAATTTAAGCTAATGTAATTCAGGCATACGTGTCTACTAATGATTTAATTTAAGGTAATACATGTATCAAAATTTTGTACATTTATTTATTTATAATTGGCCCGAATTTAAAATATAGTTTCGTGAGAACTTGAATTGAATAATCAGACAGATACGAAGAAACATTTGCGGAAAAGATGAAAAAAGTGATACTATGTGATTTGCTGTATTTTCTGAATTAATGGATCCAAATTATATTTAAACCCCATAAATTTGCAAAACTTAAAAAAAATCACTTAAAACTCCAACCAGAGTGAACGTTTAGCCAGTAATTAATTAAGTGAGTAAATAGTAGATAGGAGATCGAATAACAGACATACATTTAGTACATTCAATTTATTTTCCATTCATTCTGGTTAATTGTATGCAATATGAAGATGTTTCCAAATGGGTTCAAAAAATGTTTCATTCTATCATTGGCTGTTAAAATTGTCACTATAATTATTATCAATTGACAATGCTATTTCAAGTGAAACTGCACTCTAAAATATTCATAATTTTCAAATGTCTTTTAACTACGTATATTTCAGCAACATTGTAATTCCTCTTGTTATATTACGTTAAAAAGCGCGAATATTTTCATCTGAGTCGAAGATACGGCAGTAGAGTTCGATGCAGCTTCTCCAGTCTGAGGGTCTAGGCAGCTTATTTTATCGTCTTCCCATACTCACTCATAACTTTACATTTGCCTCACATTAGAAGCATTTTGTACAAAAGTAAAGAACTCTACGGTGAATAGACATATAATTTAAGTAACCTGTTAAATTCGCATGTTGTAGGTTCATAATACACAATTGCACATGGCTCAGTTACAAGATGAAATATATTAGAAACAATAATATTTTTTGGAACCCACAAAGTTACGATGAATATAAATACCAGTAATTGAAATTGAGAATCAGCGAGTGTGTATGAACTGCACTATTTCCATCAAATCATATTACGTAGAAATGTTCCCATTACTTCCATCAAAGCATGATGTAGACCTTCAAAGCATCAACCCAAAAATACCAAAAAAATTTCAAACTTAGTTTAAAAAGTTTACATTGTATAGCCCAAGTATAAAATTCCACAAGTAAAAGATATCTTTGCAGTCTTCACTAATCTTCTACATCAATTTAATTTTCTCTTTTTTTATCTGTATGAAATGTAAGTTTTCATGAATAATTAGGAAAATAAAAACTTTTATGAGAATATTTAAGCATCAGAAAAAGATACACTTTTTACTCTGTTAAGATGTGTCAAATTTTGAAAATAAATTCGTAGAAGCGATCAAGAGAGTTTATATTCAATTCAAAAAGTTTTAAATATATTGACTGTTAATTCTACAAGAATGTAACACTTCTATACTCACTCACCTATATAAATTTGTCGAGGCTGGAGAATTTGTACCGTCAGAAATAGAGATTCAGCTAATTTTGGGCTTACATTGTTATATAAACTATATCACTCACTGTCTATATGATAGTTTTAGAAAGGAAATCCATCGATAAAGAACTTTGTGATTAGTTATGGTTTAAGCAACGTACACTAAAAACAATTATTCAACCGAAATTACTTTCTTTCACTGAACTAACAAAAGTGTTGGAAAAACACTAGGGCTAGCGAGAACATGTGAGCGCCGGACATGTCATCGGTTGTACAAATCTGTTGTAAGTAATCGCGGGACATCTCCGTTTTCCAGAGATTAGAATCAGAGAGATAAAACAAAATCAAGTTAATCTAGATATTTGAGTACATCTTCATTGCAGGCAGTAATTATTTCTGAATCCGCATTTTGATTCCGAAGTTTTATGAAAAAGTAAAAAAACAGCATTCAAACGTTTTAAAATTACCGCATGTTAGGATGTATGAACTTCTGACTTCCATTCACACTTCTGGCTTTTTGCCTCAAATAAACTATTACACTGTGGATGAAATTTCATACGAATATCTCAAAATAATTGAGTTTTTGAATCATACAACTTTTTTAACTTCAATTGTTTGTTATTTCTGTGGAGAAAAAAAAGTTTTAACAAAGCAGCCTCGTCACAATATAGGCTTAGCATATTTGCTTCTGGAAGTATTTTTGGACAAGAACAGCTTTTAAGAATAAAGTTCAAATTTTCCAGAGAGAGAATAAAGTAAATTGATATAGTCAATATACTATATTCCACCACTTAATTATTTATAGTATAAGGTGGTAGAAAAGATTGGTCAATTCAATCATAAAAAATAGCATGCCTTCACATTCCATCATGGAAGTAAAGTTTATTTCTCAGCAGCCCATAACAAATTTACAAAAAAAAAAAACAAGCAACCTGAAGAATTGTTCGTCACGAAAAAGAGCGTTCGTTTTGAAAGAGCTTTGGATTTTCGCCTTCAAAAAAGCCAACCCAAAAAAAAACGAAAAAAGGGCCCCAAATTCAACTGAAAAAAATTAAATGAAAAACCAAACCAATTTTACCGGAAAATGAAATAATTAAAAAACAAAATAAAATAAAAAATCCGGCAAAGAAAAAAAAAGCGAACAAAACAAAATTTCTACACACAGACACACAAAACAAAAAGACATATATTAAATAAACGTACAATTTCCGAGGCAAACTTGCATCATTCTGATGAGTAGAAATCATATTAATGAAATTGTCAGTAAGAAATCAGAAATGAAATGAAGAAAATGTCAGTACGAAATAAATCGCTCAATAATTAGGACGAGCCATTACTCAGTCAGTCAATTAATAATTTTCAAGTTTAACGCTGAGTTGACCGACGTTATGAGAATTGTTTCATTCATTAGGGTTGAAATATATATAAATGAAATTTATTCCTATTATTTTCCTTTTAAAACAATTAGAGGAGCCTCGAATGAGTGGCACACCTACCGCTATTAATCTCGAATCTTTTCTTGTATTATGTTCATTCTCCATCTTAGATTTGGATATGCCACCCAACATAGGCTTAAATATCCTTTGGCATAAGTTCAAATATGGAATTTCCTTTGAAATTATGCGCTTCAGTTAACAGACTTTAGGAGGTATTGAAGGTGTGGTATGTCATGTTTGTAATAGGATAATTTCGACTAACAATAAATGAATATTTGCAAAATTTATTTGCGAGTTAAAAATAATTTACGTCTGCTGGTAACGTGTAAATAACAACAATGTAAACAAATCAATTAACAATATAAAATACACGATATGAACGGTGAGCTTGTTAAGGAAAAGCTCCTGGTATTTAACCAACACAAGTACTAGCTGGCGGTAACAATTTTGAAATTACGCGCAATAAAATATCAAGAGAAAATCTTTGCATCCAAGAAATATAGTTTTTGACCGCAGGATACGCGCGTAACTTATTATACTATCTTAAGTTGTATGAAATGAAAAATAATGATTTTACCCGCTTCAATATTGCCTAATCAATCAATTAGTTTAGTTTAAATTCCTGATAAGGACTTCACTTTGCTGAAACGCTCAAGTTTGAACCAAATAAATTCTGTTGGATGGCTTCCAGATATGCAAGAAGATCTTTTTTGATGACATAGAATGTAGAAAAATTCTAATAAAAAACTCACTGTAGTGTAAAATCAACGACTGATATGTTAGTACATGTGAACAGAGAGAACCATGCAGTTTCAGCAGCTGAACAATGAGACATGTTCATACTGAGTGTAAATAGCTCCCAGTAAACCACTCAAGTCATAAACCAACAAATAAATTCTTCTTGCTTGTTCTTTGACGAGCGAGGACAAACAATTGATGTTTTCTAATAAAAAATGAAATGATTTTTAGTGACATACGACACCAAAAGAATTTGGATACAAATTGCCGTCGACTGCTTACGAATTTCTGCCATAAAGTAAAAAACGAGAGAGAAACTTCAAGGGCATTTTCTTCGAAAGAAGTGCAATGCAAGACTCATTAACGAAAATTTATTGTTTACCATATCATAATAACGCAACATTTGAAAATAAATTTGGCGGCTAGAATTCTGCAACACAAATTAATGCGCGCAAAACCGAATACGATAAATCTGAACCATTCTCTGAAATATAAGTTTTATTTACGAATTGTTTTAATTAATATTGTTAAGTACTTGTTTTTCAATAATTTCCTCGTGACGTATCGCCAGCGGTTGAATTGAATATAGAGTGTTCATTAATCGGGAAAATGTTGGACACTCTTCCCCAAAATATTAATGTGGGGAAATTATCCATGCTTGACTTCCCTCTAAATTTCATCCATTCTCCCCTTGAATATATACTGTGTCAGAAGTGTCCAAAAATTAATGTTTCTCTTCTAATTAATATTTGAAAATAAATTGGAACAATTAACATTTCACCTTGATTTTTTAATGATCAATTCGAACGTGCTGGGAATCGTATTATTGTTCGTATCTACAACATATATTTTCCAGTATTACAACCAAAATTATAAATATGGCTAACAAATTTTTATTTTATTGGTGAGAAATTATAAGTAGGGAAAAGAGTTTTATATAGCACTCAATGTACAATCTTTGCCACTTATCGAGCTTGAAAAAAAATTTAATTTCCGAGCAAAGACATATTTTTTGAACGTATGATGCCATCCCACACGATAATCAACCGAGCGAATTATGTCTATATTCAAATTGCATGCCCATCAGTTAATTATTTATTAAAAGATTGATTTCGTACACATAGTTCCATTCGTTATTCTTAACGCGTATCAATGGGCACAATATTTTTATGAAGCGAGTTCTCAGTTAGCGTCGCGGAATTCTTCTCTATATAATTTACTTTAGCTCACTGGATGATGTTTGCAGAGTGTTACAAATTAATAACCTCTTCTAGGTTAAAATTACACAACAATTACACAACGGCGCTAAACTTACTGGTAGAACTTAATGAACTCATTGCATCTGAGTTATAATATTTTGAATCGCATAAAGCATTACGAAAATATCCGTTTCTTTGTGAGTCTTTTTTTTTTGCTGGCAAAATGCACTCGACAAAGCATAACAGCAGAAAAGACGTCAATCTTTGCTGGATGAAATAATCGTGACTACCGACCGAATATTCATAACTAGAATCTTGGAATCATTCCTGGGCCCATACTTTCATAACTCGCTAAGTGAACGTAAGTTCTTACGCTCTATTTTCTTGTCTATGATTGGTGGATTTTGCTTGAAAGACCGTCAATGATTGGCTGATGAACTTACGATCTCTTAACTTTTTTTGAAAGTATAGGTCCTGGGGTCTAGCCGCAAATCGCTGCGGGTCTACCCGCATTCCTATTAATCCAGACCCGGCCGTACGATTCCAGACTAGCTCTGCACGACGTACGGTAGTTCATAAAGTCGCCTAAATCTCTCAAATCGCCTTCTAGTTTAGGCGCTTCAATTTATTTCAATTCGTATGAACACTGAGCTAATCGGAACTTTTTGTGTCTTGCAATATTTTGTGCCGAACAAATTTTAATTAAAATAACGAATAATAATACAATCACATGAAATGACATCCATTACTGGAAGACACATATAAAAACCTAGCCAAAAACTGAACTGAAAGAACTGAATACAATCTCCAACTGAAAGAAAAGATTATATTCTGATTATAAATTAAGGCATCCGATTTTGAATTGTTCATATGCAGAATAAGTTATAAAGCAGTTACCTTATTGAAGTAATCCATGAAGCACGCGCAGGTATAACGCCGCTCTGAGGGACTCAAGTCTTCACTATAGCCACGCGTTTGGTGGTCACGCAAGTTACCAAGTTTTCGAGCCTCGCACAGAACAGTTCAAAATGTTACAAGCCTCACGTATTTTGAATACCAGTAAAACACGAGCACTGCTGCTGAAAAATTCCATTCTTGTTTCGATTCACGAGAAATCTATACGTATCACTGATTGCTTGCAGCTCTAAATTGTTTTAACTATGTCGAAAAAGTGCCTATAACAATATTTTTAAATTTGATTGATGTCCACATTTAAACACTCACGATTTAAAGCCGAGCGTATATTACGAACTTTCTGCCATGCTATCACAGCTAATTATAAAAAGTGACGAATAATTACTCACCCTTCACAACTTATTCAGTGAAAAATGTATCGCATTAGATTTTAATACCACTTTTGCAGTTTCAAGATGTATGTATACGTTCAGCCGTAGATTCTGGCATGTACACGCTTGTCAACACATTTCCATTGATCCTAAGTTAAAAAGTTAGAATGGAAAGACTGAGAATATTTCTGAAGTCAGGGCACCGTGGAGAGACGAGAGGCACACGAGCACCTCACCTTACGAACGCTGCAGCTGGACTGAACTCCGAGGATCATCACCGGGCGCCTCCCACTCCTGGGGGCTGAAGGGCGGCATGGCGGAGATACGTGAGTGAAGGGCGGCATGGCGGAGATACGTGAATGAAGGGCGGCATGGCGGAGATACGTGAGTGAAGGGTGGCATGGTGGAGATACGTGAGTGAAGGGCGGCATGGCGGAGATACGTGCCTATGAACGACATAACGAAAATGCATCCCAGAACACATAGATTGTCCAAAATGTTTGTATGCCTATTTAACTATACGTTCGTGAAATAATTCATGTTAAATATAAAATTTTTATATCATGTATACCTTTAATGATATCTTATTTAAATTCAATACATCAGAATCGTATCTGCATATAACGTGTTTCAACGTATATACCTAAAAGGTGAACTCAAATATAACTTTAAATATATAAAGAAAACTGAAAATCTAAAAGTATGAAAAATGAGAAAATTAGGCCCAAATTAAGCGAGTCAGGTTTCAAGCAATTGAAAATTAACTGATGCAAATCATTTGGAATTTGATGGATTAGTTGGTATATAAAAAACGAAAACAAAAGAACGAAAACAAACTATCAGGTGATACTGATAGTTAATTGGCCTCCTAATTTTAATCGATAAATGCGGCTATATGGCTTTGTATAATTTAGTCATAGATCGTAGAGAATATTGTATGGATCTTGATATCTGATCGTCGGAAGATCAATTACGATCTGCGGGATTAAACAGGTGTCGTGTGGTCTGATCCTTTCTAAACTTACGCAAACAATTCTCATTTAAAATAAAATATGTTTCGGAGATTGTTGAAGTTCAACGATGACGTTAATCTCATGTAATAAAAGAAGTGGCTCTATAACAGAATATTTCGAAATGACAATATGCGTACAAAAGAGATAAGGGATTCACGTTAACAGTACAAACTTGTGCGAAGACCATGAAGAAATTTGAGTATAAAAAATCACATTTTGCGTGATAAATACTGGCTCTTATAAGCCCTGTATTCATATGTGTGCAACAGCTAGAAATAAAAAGAAATTTTTTTCATAAAAATTCCATTTTCACAGAGAAAAAAATTATTTAAATTTGTCGGATTACTTTCCTCAACATTCTCTGTTGTTCGGGCTTCTAGTTTCACTTTCAATGGCGATTGGAACGCAAGCAAGCATGTCTGAAGCTGCATTTCAAATCTACCCAACACTGCGGTAAAGCACGCTTGCCGTGCTATATTTTATTCATAAAATTCGTTGCATCCCGTGAATACACCGCCCCCTCCCGAGACGAATTCCCTCGCCATAAATTTTTTAAAGACCGAAACTTAAAAGGCTCAGGCAGTTGGAGTGGCTAGAGCAACGAACTTTTTTACTGCGCGTTTGCAGTGACCAACCGTGACCATTTGAGCCCAGTAAATGCCCAGGCAGTGAAGAGCTCAAAGGCACTCGATTTCACGCTGCCTAATTCAGATGCGCATTCATATGCATTCAGATCGATTCAATCGCGTGCAATATTGATTCTAATAACATGTAAAAATACTTCGGAATATTTATTCTAATGAGACTCAGAAATTTAATGCAAAACCAATGTTGATAATATTACGTCAATAAATGCATTACAACATTGATTTTAATAAGATTTGGAAATGCTGTACAATAGTGATCCTTATTTGAATTTAAAAATACATTATATTATTAATTGTAATAAGATTTAGAAATACAGTAATATCTCGAATATAAAAATGTAGAAATACGTTCCAGTATTAATTATGATAATGAGTTGCAATACGTTAAAATATTGATTACAATAATATACACAAATTCGCTGCAATTCATTTCCAATTTATCTCTCTTGCAATTCATTCAAAAATTTTTAAATTAAATAAGTGCATTAAAATTGAATTTTCAAATAATATCATGCAGCGTTGCTTCTCACCACCAATTAGTTTGCGAATTAAGTAAGATTCGACGTAAAAAATATACAATGTTTTTGCCTAAATTCAACTGAACAACCTCATCCAAAATTGCATTAAAGTCGTAATTAAATAGTGAGTTAAAAAGTCATTGTAAAGCAGCATATGGGGTCGCCACAAACTTTGTTTAGAGATGGCTTCTCGAAATGCAGTACAAATAGTAATAGAAGGGCTGTTAATGTAGACTAAAAGAAATGCCACGATTTTCATTAATTTCTGAAACAATTAAATGTAAAAAAGCGCCTATGTAATTGAATAATTGCAAATAATTTAAGAATAATTTGTGGCTACAACTGGAAGAACTTCAAGTGCGCAAATATATCACCGATGTTCCGGACGTGTATATGGTTCGAAATTATACGCAAATAAAGTAAGTCAAGATACTAATATTAACACAGATTCTAACTTTCTGATCTTGTATAAAGATTGCGTTATTATTTTCATAAAATTGAAAATTATTGAAACGGACAAAAAAATCTCTTCATTCTAATTTGTAAATATATTAATTTAGCGTGTGGTCACAGATATAAAATGGAACTAATATAATTTTATACAACATTTTCAGAATTCATCATGCAGTCTCACGTTGTCACTAACTTATTTCATTGCTTATTTGTTCGTAAGTTCAATCATTGCACGGGCGTGGACTCAATTAATGAAACCCCCAGCGAAAATTAAATTGACTTGATTTCCGACACTTAAAAAAAATTCCTTACTACCATCAGCTGTTCGGTCACATTTCGTCGTCACATTTTTCAAATAAACTATTAGACATTTATTTGATTATTTATTAATGTTACCTTCGCTTTTATTCAAGTTTTTGCAGTCACTTTAGTGCCGGACGTCGAGGGATTGATGTTAGTATCCGCGTTTCGGTAGCAGCAGCGCCCGGCATCCGCATTATCTGCAATCTTACCTGAGATCCGCGGAAGCGCATCCGCATCAAGCCGCAGATTGTCTTGCAGTTTTGAACGTTCACGGCATCCTTTAGTCACCAATGGAACACCAGCATCGAAAGCAGCTAAAAAAATAAAAGTTTTTCATCAATTTTAGCAGAGACGGGTATAAGGTATGAGGGAGTTGTGGAATGTAATAAAGTTGAGTTACTAATGGTAACATATATTAAGCATTAAAATGCCATGCGCATTGCTATGGCGACACGAGCAAAAAAGAAAATACTGAAATACAAAAGGCATTCTTTACAGTAAGTAAGAGAGAAAGAAAAAACAGAAGTGGATTAAAACATAATTATTTGTGCACAAGTTTCTGAATTATGACAATCATTTGATGACGTGTTCTATGAACCTGCACAGGAATATTTTTTATAGTTTTATACTTAGTACCTCACAAGAAGTTAGCAAATAATTTACGGAGCTAATATCAGCCTAATTGGTTGAATTAATTAGGAATAAAATGATCAAGTGACTGGTGCAGCGTTGACTTTCCGGCGTCCGCAAGCCGGTGCAGAGGGCAATAACGTGTGCATTTAAACGTCTTTTTTTGTTGCCGCAAAAGCAGGTTGCGGTCAAGTCTGGAATGGGAATGGAACTGGAACTTCCGGAATCTTTTTATTACCTCTTGGCTTGCGATTTGCGCTGCTCGCTTGCATTAGGAATGCATCATTGGAACGAATGATGAAAAAAATCAATGCAGTTTAAAAATTTTGTTCTATTTTCTCCGATGACAATTTCGAGAAGAAAGTATTGCATAACTATTGCATGGGCTTGCTCTTTTATAACAATAGTGATGCGAACAGTGTTTGTTCTCCATAAAGGTGAAATATATCTTTACCTGGCATAACACATTTTTAATGAAGTTTACACTATCACATTATTATTACATTTCTAGTAAATTTATGCAAAAAAATTTATCTGAATGAAATTTGGAGCATTTCTCAATGACCAACGGTAAACCATGTTACAATGTTACATATATTGGCCAAAAACGTTAAGTTTAAAACTAATCACATATAAATACAAAGTTTTACAGTTTCTTCTATATATTTAGAATGATAAGCAAAATAAAAATTATGCAGGCACAATCATTGCAGCTCATGGCGTCAGCGTGCTCACATCTTATCATGTCTGGTGGAGTAGAACGCAAAAATTTAATCATTTATAATTACATGAATTATATTTTATGTTAGCTGGTTAACCTTTAAAGGGGATATTAAATCCCTTAGGAATTTGCGAACTTGTTATTCGTTTTCAAACTGAAATAAGGTTGATGAAAAAAACATCCAGTCCAATCTGAATTTTAAAATAGAACTCCCATAATAATTCGGGTTTGAAATTTCGCTGAAATTATTTTTAATTAATTCCTTCCCGAGTCTGCTACTGAAAATTGCATTTCAGGTCCAGGTAATACCCCGACGACATGGATATTAGGCTTCAAAAAGTCCCCCCAAACAAACATTTACAAAAAGATAATAGATTTAGTGTGCAACTGTACAATAAAAAGTAAAAATTGCAACTGTACAATAAAAAGTAAAAATTGCAACTGTACAATAAAAAGTAAAAATAACGTGGAATAACACGTTATTTTTACTTTTTATTCGTTCATGAAATTTATTATAAATGACGATAACACGTTCATGAAAATAACACGTTCATGAAATTTATTATAAAATATAAACCAACGAACTTTCAGTGATACCCACTAGATAAGCAGATTAGACACTGACAGATAACGTACAAAATACTAATGATTCTCAATAGCCTTTTTTTGACAGGATTAGTCTCGTATATTAGTCCTTTATATTAGCTGTAGACTCGTCCATTCCTTTATTTCTGAGGTGTGGATTGATATGCAGTTACTATTAAAGTATTAATTAACGTCTCAACGTCGTTGTGACAATTTTAAAATAAAATTGTTAGCTAAAGAAAATTTTCGATAGTTATGAAAGAAAACTATCATAGGGTTAGCTGAAATTTTTATATCTCCTGTCAAATTACACTGATATCTGATATAGTCAACTTAACTGTAAAAATATGAAAATTATTTCATTTCAATTT